TACATAACTAACGTAATCAACTATGTAGAAACTAACTTGAGGAAATTCAGAGAATTTTTCCGGCGCTGGCTCTTAGACTATTATGAAAACCACTTGAAATCATCAGTTGCTAGTACCTGTGAAATGTTTGCTAATGTGCTTGTTTTTGGAGATCATAATCTTTCTCAAATAACGTGGAACAATTCTAATATCTGACGGTCTGGTGGGCTGTCATCGCTATCACCCCTCTAGAGTTTTCCATACCTATCGATAGAGCAAAATTTCTGAAGCTTCTTAATTATTTTTCCTATGAATTCAAAAATGCCAATTTCGATACAATTCCCTTTAAGAGAAATTGTTACAGCGTTAAATATCCTATCTGGTTGTCTCACGAATTAAAAAATTTGATTTCTCGAAAGAAAATTGCTCACAAACAATATAAGCAGCCGAATAGTGAAGGGGATTACAAACTGGGGGATTACTATATGCATTTAACACACTTCGGAGGGATTGTAAAAGCCTCACTTAGGACTAGGAGTGCTACAAATTATACACAAGTGATCAAGGACCTATATAAGGGGAGGTTTTGGGGGTTCGAATCCTCCCCATTGAACTGAATAAATTATTTTTATTGAAGAAAAATAAACGTTTTTGGGCGAGGCAACCGAAAAAAAAATTCGCCTTTGACGATATCCTGATGGGCTTCAGAGCTGTAGGGTACTCGGGTACGGTACGAGTACTCTTCACTTGTACTCTAAGTATATTTTCATTTACTCGGTACTCAGGCCAAGATACTTTCTGAATCGCGTACTTGTACTCGTACTTGGACTGCTTAAGAATATAGAAAATAGGTACCCGGTACTTTTTATTGTACTGAGTAATTTTCAAAATACCCGCGTACATGCGTTTTTACTTAAATACATTTGTTATACCCGGGTATTTTCATTGTTTTCGAATACATTTGCAGTTGGTGAGTAAAATTATTGGATTCTAACTAAATACATATTTATTTGGCCACAAGTACATTTCCAGACAAGTTGAGATCTGACATTAGGTCTGTTCCAACACGTCAAAAACCGTCCATGAACGGTTTCGAAACCACTCAGTGAACGAATTTCAGTTTCTACGCGCATATTTTACAGTTTGCCCAGAATCATGACGATAAATTGTACGGTTTCCTGCTGTATTGGAACAGACCTATTATGTTACGGTTACGATATGACCAATTTTCAGCCATTTTTTGTTTAGCATCAGATGCTTAGCATGCGTTCCATTGATCGTTGTGATTTGCAAACGAAAATTTTGAACTTTTCTGTGACATTGTGTTTGTGACCATAAATTTGGAAATTCTGATTTCCTTTTACAATAATTATCAAAAGCTACCTTGAAGCACAACCCAAACACGGTCATAAGCAACCCAATTGCAAACCCATAAAGCACATCTTATTATTTAGATTTTGGAAAACTTTGAGAGGTCATAACTTTTTTTCTATTATAGATAGAAAGCTGAAATTTTCACTGAATTTTATCCCAATAAAAAGAGGTTATTTGAGACTCCGAACCCAAGGGCTTCATTTTCGAGAAAATCAGCTTTGAATCTTTTGTGAAATTTAAGACAAAGTTTTGACTTTGAGCCTCATTATCTCCAGAAGTATTTAAGATAGAGAATTGAATCTTATTCTATCTTAAAGATAATTTAATTCTGATTCAGAATATATGATATCATATTCGTTGCAATAATAACCGAGTAATGAGCGATTTTGTGAGACAATGTCAGATTATTGAAATTTTCTGGGCCCAAAATGTGGAAAAACAGTTTTTATTTTTTTACAAGCCCTAAAACCCAAAAAACAAAGTTGTGTAAATGCTTTTCTACTAATTTTCACCTCCTCTTTCGATTGGTAAAGTCGAAAATTGCAAAATCCAAAAATTTTTAAATTCAAATTTTTTCAAAGGGGGTATGCATGGAAATTTGATTTTCAAATATTTCAAAGGGCCACATCTTAGAAACCAGTAAAGCTATCGGCATGAATCTTTCGCTCAATTATAGCTCTGGAGAAGGGCTATAAAAAAGGTAATTTGAGACTCTGAGCCCAAGGGCTTCGTTTTCAAGAAAATCAACTTTGAATTTTCTGTGAAATTTGAGACAAAGTTTTGACTTGGAGCCTCAATATCTCCAGAAGTATTTGAGATCCTCTGGGGTACCTACCCCAGGAAGGCTCGCACTTGGGCCCTCTCTTATTCCGCTTATTTAGCTCAAGACATTCCTACTTATTCTGCAAAACGATCTCAACATTGTTTATGATTGGGGTCAGCTTAATGACATGTCCCTCAATATTGATGTGTTGTTCTATAAGATTTACTAGACTCACCCGTAAGGTTTCCTCTCAAGTACTGCTCAAATGATGCTCGGTTGTCTAAGGTTCTGTCATTAAAGATCTTGGTCTCTATTTAGATACTAGGCTTAATATTCACCGAGCATTTGAAAGTGGTAATTGGCAGGGCTAATAGAATGTTAGGTTTTATTAAGAGAGCTGCTAGGAACTTTACAAGACTACGCCCCCTTCAAAAATGTTTACATCATTAGTCAGATCCGTTCTTGCATTTTCATGCATAGTTTGGTCCGCCTTACTGTTAGATCCATATCCTTAGGCTTGAGAGTGTGCAACACAAATTTATCGTTTGCAAGGTACAAACTTTCTCTGATTGGTATGATTCTCAATGATGGTCAGACTATCACCTAATTAGACTTACTACTTAACTACTCTCGTTTGTAGAAGGGAATACTTTGATGTCTGTTTTGCTTTTAATATCCTTAACTTAACTACTACATAAAAATCCACGAATATCTTGAATGTTTTTATCATCTGTACCACTCAAAGTTATCGGACACAAAGTAAATCGTTACTGGACATTTCTTACTGTCGAACTTGGTCCTTACTATTCAGTTCTCTTAATAGAATATTTGCCAATGGGAATAAGTTCTTTGAGGATCTTGACTTCTTCAGTTTATCTCAAGATAAATTGACGCAGGCCAAGAGAATTGTTTCAGGTTAGATTATTTTAGATTTAAACTCTGTACAACTTCAAATGAGTGGTATTTTTTTATACGTAAATAAATAAATGAATAGCTTAGCGCTTTTTCTCGTTCTACCAGATACTATATTATGGTCACACATAGGTATATCACTCACACTTTTCTTTTGCTTAAAAAACCTAAATTTCACTCACACTTTTAAAAAAAATTGCGTACAAAACTTTTGATCAAATCCTACACTTTTTGAAGCATCTTGAAGAGCTCTAGCTCAGTCTTCAGAGATCACAGGCATCGAGATATAAAACTGCAATTTGGATTTCACTCACCAAATGTTTTCAATGCTCGAATTGTCAGATAACGACTGTTCAATTATTAAAGAATTCTTAATTAATCTCAAATAAAATTGAAGCATTGCAAAAATCATTATTGAGTCAGCATATACGATAAGCGAAGCGCAGCAAAATTTAATGTCAATAACTTTAGTTGATGAATTTCATCTCTGAGCTCTGAGGAACCTCAAGTTTTTACCAGTCTTTGTCAGAAACTTGAACTTTGGACATGCATTCAACGAGCAATCTCTTATCAGTCATTCCTGAGTGAGAATTCTTAAATCCCAAAGTTTCTCAGTGGTTGCTCTCCAAGAGGTCATACTATGATAAACTCCACTTGTCGACAGGTGTAATTAAAAATCATTCTCTATCAAAAACTAAACTAAATCCTGAAATTCAATCAAACGATATACATGAAACATGCATTCAAATTAAAAACATCATATAACATTTGACGTCATTCGCAGGAAGACATTTATTTTTAGAGTTCGATCTGTGACAGGCTTAGAGCTGAAGCTGTTATTTTCACCTGCTGGAAAACTTTGGAGCCTATATCGATCTTGTTGCGGCCATTGCGCTTTCCCCATTTCCACGTCGCACATTTTAATTACAACCTAAAATTTATCCATCATACAAATTTAAATTTAGCCCCCCTGGATTATCTTCAAGGGTCATTTTTTATCTTTGACCAATAGCCAATTATCTAATGGTTGTTACAAAGAAAAATATCACATGTAATTTTTTGCCGAACATATCAACTTATATATTGATAAGAGTAATTATAAATAATCTGTTACATTTACTTCTTATCAAATAATGTTCCGCGATAAATAATTGTTGTAAGAGGCCAATACACTAAAATTCATTGATATTGCCTAAGGTTTGTCTGCCATTGACTATAATAAGTGTGAATCCGTTTGGCCCTGCTATGGTTGGTCAGGGCCAGGGTCAGCAGCTGATAATATGTGAATTATTTGCGAGGCTAAATATAGATTGCCTCAATTGAACCCTCTGGGAACTTTAAATTCTTTACGTGCATCCATTTATTGATTTATTTGTCTCTTATTTAATGTCTAGTCTGTGGTATATTATAAATTGATGCTCAATGACTTATAGGACTTATTTGAATGAAAAGTAGCATCTTGAAGAGACAGTACCAGTAAATTGAAGTTGAAATTCTGTTCCAATGCAAAAATTCGATGATACACTTAAATATCTTCAATCAATTCACTTAGGAACATTAAAAAACATGAAATTCAATTTCTCTAAAAACAATGTCCCAGCTATACAAAACAGTTGGGCTAGAATGAAGAGATTTATCATCGTTTATTCCAAGAATTATATATATGATTAGCAGATGCTCGAATTCAAAATACATAATATAAGCCAACGTAAGTAATTCGAAAAAAAAAAAATATGATTTGAGTGTCTGCCAACACACACGGTACGTTCACCCGTCATCATCTCGAAAATTTGTTGCCAAAACATTTACATTGATGAAAAATGCAACACGTGTGCCAAAATTTGTAAAAATGTTTGCCGATATCCTAATGGAATTGGAGCAAAAGTGCTGTTGTATGTAATAAATTGAGAGACAAAAACCTGATTTATTTAATTTAATCTTATACCCTAATATATTTTTTTTGAAATTCCAGCGAAAGTTCCATGTTTGTTTCCAAACGTCGTTTCATATTGAAAACTTGCGGTACCACAACACCACTGCTCTGTCTACAACCGTTACTCTTATTGGCCGAACAGTACGCCGGTTTCACTGAAGTCGAAGATTTGTTTTATTCTCGAAAGAACTACAAAAGACCTGATTTACAGGTTACACCGCATCAGCATTTTGACCAAGAGGTAAGAACTTAACATAAGCGATTATTATAGTTCTCTACTAAATAACGATATTTTTGTTATCTAGGTGGCTCTATTGGATACACTCTTTCCAGACGGAGCCGCCTATTGTCTAGGAGCAGTGAACAGAGACTGTTGGTATCTTTACACTTTAAATCCGCTTCCGCAACATAACAGAAGACCGATGCTCTCTACCAATGAAGGCGATCAGACGTTAGAGATACTCATGACTGACTTGGATCCGGAAATAATGGCGATCTTTACCAAAGAGGAGTGTCTTAATGCTACTGAGGCCACCAAGAAAGCGGGCATCGATAAAATTATTCCTAATATGACCATAGATGATTTTTTGTTTGAACCCTGTGGTTATTCGATGAATGGAGTTTCCAAAAATGTAAGTGTTTTTAATGTGCTGCTCTTACATGATAGAAGTGAAACTTCTTTAGAGTTACCATATAACACATCTCTCTCTGAAGAAGTTTCACTTGAAAAATGGATTTGTTTTTGTATTTTACAAATTCCTTTCAATTTTAATTGCTCTCAGAACTCACATGAAGTCTTAGATGTAAGTAAAATAACTTAGGCACCAATGTAGATGCTTTAGATGTGGAGGTAAAATCCAATAATAATTATTATATACCATAAGTATTATTATATTACCTACAACAACTAGATTTTGCATGTATGCCCAATGATATTAAAGGCTTGTTTAAAATTTTCTCATAATTTTCGATTCTCAGGGATGTTACATGACGATTCACATCACTCCAGAACAAGAATTTTCATATGTTAGTTTTGAGACTAACGTTCCGGCCAGCAGCTACAAGGAAATTATTGGAAAAGTGTTGGACACTTTTAAGCCTGGCAAATTTACAGTGACTGTTTTCACTAACCAAGTAAGTAACGATTTTTTTGTTTATAACTAGGCTGTAAAATTTTAGTAGTAGTAAGGATATTAGTCTTAAGTATTCTGTAAGCAGGGTGTCCGGAAATAGGTGCAACAAAATTTGCTGAAAGTTTATTTAGTGACCCGAATTTTATATATTTGGTAATTTGATGAATAGCCATAGCCATATCTTTCGGAGTTACATACATCCCCCTTAAATTCACCCCTAAGCCTAAAAATATTTTTTTTTATATGTGAATCACTATGTTTGATACACGTGAAAAATTGGATGGTGCTACACTTTTGTCTTTGGAGCCTCAAAACTTTGGTTACGTATTTGAATTTTTAAGAAATATATTATTCTGTTAGAAGGCCCATTCCCCAATCAATTTAGAAATCTTTTATTTTTTTCACGTAAAGGCGTCTAAAACTCTAAAACGGCAGACTGTCGGTTTCCTCTTCTCTCTCGTTTTTTTTTTCCAAATTTTCCAATTGGACTGAGTGGCTGTGTAGTCATAACAGCCAAATCCCATGTTCAAGTTACTGCAAAACCAACAAATAAAATATAGGTATAAGAGGGAATTTTGATCCACAAACTGAACTTATTATCTAATCTACAGGAAGAATTCTCTAGCATCACTGACCGAGTCATGGGCATTCTCTCATCCGCAATCAGCTCTTTCATTCCATTCAAACTCAAGATTATTAATCCCCAGAAGTCTAAGAAATTTTCAAACACATTGAAAAAAAGAGTGTGCAAGAAATTGAAAAGGAACTCTGAAAATGACAACTTGAACTACAGGCACAGCATATACAAAAACAATCAGCAGGCTAACTCTCACGCACATACAGGCATCAAAATAACTTCCTCAAAGCCAAGATAAAACAGTGTAGAAGGAAATATGAACAATAACTGCTAGCCTTTTCTGATAAGCAGTTTCATTTCTACATAAACACATCTCTTGGTTCTTACTTACACATTTTTCACTTTGGAAAATGAGAGATGAGATGAGAAAATGAAGACTGCACTCAAATCACTGAAGCTAGATTCTAGATCAGGAGAGGATAGGCCTATTCGGGTTTGGAAAAAGGACGGTTCTAGAACGGTTCAAAACAATCGTCCAGTTTATTGATCAACAAAATAACAACGACTCGACTATCACAAATTTCAATAATAAACTGTGCGATTCTTCTGGACCGTTCTAGAACCGTACTTTTTCCAAACCCGAATAGGCCTGATGAAATCCCTGCCATTTTCCTGAACAAGTGTGCGGCAGTTCTGTCACATCCCTTCTCAATCCAGCCATGATGAACAAACTGCTTAGGCAGGGTAAACTACCAATGAAATGAAAGAATGTAACTGTAGTGCCTATTTACAAGAAAGGCAACAAACGCCTGCCTGAATACTAAAGGGCCATTAGCTTAACAAGCACTGTTTGCAAATGCATGGAGAAAATCCTGTTATCTGAAGTGACTGGATTTTTGCTCGCAAATGGAATCATCCGGCCTTCCCAACACCGGTTCCTTCTTATAAAGTCCATTTCCACGAACCTGCTTACCAAGGTTCATGACTGGACAAGGGCAGATGACTCTGGCCAGTCTGTTGATGTATTTTACCTGGATTTTAAATTGGGCCGCTTATTCTTATTAAACTCCATCACTCTGGTTCAAGAGGAGTTCTACTCAACCTAATACAAGATTTTCTGCAGGTTCGATAGTTCTGTGTCAGGTCCATGAAGTCAAATTTCTGTGCAGTTTTCAGTGGCGTCCCCTAAGGCTGAGTCCTTGGCCATCAACTGTATACTAGCGTTTACTAGTTACCTGCCAAATGGATTGAGGATTCAGATGTTGTCATTTGCAGATGATACCTGTTGTTATGGTAATCCTCCTGTAACGCAGAATGGAAGTCTTCCAGGTGGATATAGAATATAGATGCCATCAGGATGCAATACTAAATTGAGTCTACCCAGGTAATGAAGAATAAGGAAACTCAAGTGGAAAAAGATGAACTTAACGATAATGTGTCAAATATAAACAGAGAGAAAGAGGCTGATCACTTAGGAAATTGTGAATAAACAAGACCATTGAACATGCAAAGGTGAGCACAGTTAATCGAGAACCTAACTCCGTTAATCGTTAATTCGCTACTTGAGTTCTTCGATAATCGTTAATCGTTAAATTTCTGAGAATATAACGCAAGTTTAAGTTATCCAAGTTATATCAAGACATTTGCGAGATTAATTGGATGTTGTTACTGGTGCTGTGCTGATTGCTATAGCAGATACAAACCCTCAGAGAATACTTCCACAGCAAGCAAAGAGAGAAAATCGGTCAGCAAAATCTGTCATTAGCTGACGATCTATTAGCAAACAATAAATACCTGGAGAGACATAACAAAGTTGCAGCCATAGTTTACCAAGCACGCCTTATAAAACATGACATTGCCCAAGAAAGTCGAACGCCCTACTATAAACTCAACCCCCCACCAGAAGTAGAAAATGACAGGGTCAAGATATTCTGGGATAAAGCATGCACTGCTTACAGACAAAACTGTGGAACATAACAGACCAGGCATTACAATTGTAAACAAAAAAGAAAAAACAGCTTATCTAGTTGATATAGCAAATAGCGATACCCAACAACAATAATATGGACACAAAAATAAAAGAGAAAATAAACAAATACCTACCTTTATGTCGAGAAATAAAAGGGCTGTGGAAACTGGAGACCGTCGAAGTCATACCTCTTGTTATCAGTGACATGGGACTCGTACCTAAAAACATAAAGAAAAATCTAGCTACACTCAATATACCAGAAAATACTTACCATCTAATGCAGAAGTCAGTGATACTAGATACCACGCATATAGTTAGGTCGTTTCTAGAAAGGTAATCACAGAATCTGCATCTTGCCATAAAGGCCAATGCGTTCCTGTCAAAATATCCGATAAATATCGAAAAAAAAAAAATAAATAAATAAGTTAATAATAACCGAACAAAACCGACCCCTAGTGAAAGTGCTGCCAAATGGAGACCTCGGACAAAAACGACGTAAACGGGTCCAGAGTAGCACCTGTCCCCGCATCCCGTAGAAGATTGGACCGTCATCATGCGAAATCCTCAACTTAAAACCGGTACTCACATCATTCGACTTACGAAAAATTGAAGGAGATGGAAATTGCCTGTTCAGTGCTGTGAGCCTATACCTACACTGCACACAGGAGAAACACATGCAAATAAGATCTGACACATTCCATTACGTAATACAACATTGGAACGAATTGAAAGAGTACCTCCTACTAAGTCCCACAGAGTCAAAGACCAGAGAAGTTATAGAATGAGACAGAGTGAAATACTAGCAATGTCAGAATTACTCAAACTCAAGTTCGAGATTTACGCTGATGAGAGAATCAACAGCGACAGTTACATCACAAGCAAAGCGCCCACAGTCATCAGTAAAACATCCCTCCAAGTCAGCATTAAACTACTCATTACAGGAAACCTGGAGAGTGGACATTATAAACTCCTAGAAGACGCAACCAGGAAAGAAAAACGGCACAACACCAACGATGGCAGCATCAGCAGTACCAACACTAACAACAATAAACCAAGCAGGCCCCAAAGAAACCCGAGAAGAGATAAAACTCCACCCCAAAAAGAAATGGTGAAACCAACTACAGACAATGCTAGAAGAAACCAAGCAAGTGAAAAAGATGTCAGCACCACAAGCAGCAGCCCCGGAAATAAACACTAAAGCAAGCCCAGACGCCCCAGAACAAGGAAAAAACTCTAAAAGTCACAGAGTACAAATAAAGAGCCCCGATCGAAGGACACAAAGAAAACCACAACTACTGAAACAAAAAATAAAAACTAAACATGAGTAAAATGGACCATAAAAGAATACACTATGTCACTAAAGAAACTGACATCATCTCATGCGAAGCCAACGTCTGCATTCAATGACATGTTCAACAACAAGCAAGACATACCAGCATGGCTGATAAAAGGAAGAACGTTTCTAATACCCAAGAATGAGCATACTGAACAAGCGAAGAACTTCAGACTGATTACCTGCTTAAACAACATCTACAAGCTGCTGACAACACTGATAGCTGAGCGACTGTACCACCACCTAGCAGAAAACAATATATTCCCTGCAGACCAGAAAGGATGCGTCAAAAGCACGTATGGCTGCAAAGACCATCTACTCACAAGCAAAATGCTACAGAAAGATTGTGAAGAAAGGAAGAAAAATATGGAAGGTGTTCGATAAGGTCCCGCATACCTGGATAATCGAAGCCCTGAATATTTACAGAACACCCTCAATCCTCCTATCCTTCATCAGCAATACAATCAACGCATGGAACACCGACTTGCACATGACATCGGAAGCAAAGAGCGACAACAACAACACAAACAAGGTCACCATTGAGAACATAAAGATAAAGAGCGGAATGCACCAAGGAGACTCCTTATCATCTCTACCTGTACCCACGTGTCACACTATTTCCATCCTCAACAACTCTGAGACAGGATATCAGTACAAAAATGAAAGGGAGAAAATCAGCCATCTGCTGTATGTAGATGATCTGAAGCAGTCCTTGAAACCGTGCTTAATGTGAGAAACAAAATTATGACAACAAACTCCCTAGCCTTCCCTGTCATCGAATACAGTATAGAGATGAGATTATCAAGTGGACCCAGGTAGAGATACGGAAGCTGGATTCCCAACACGTAAGCTCCTCACAATGTACGGCACTCTCCATCCATGAGCCGACGTTGACCGATTCTACATACCTAGAAAAGAAGGAGGCAGAGGTATTATTAGTAAGTATTGAATTAACCTACAACATTGCTAAGGAGGGAATCAGCAGGTACCTGGAGTTAAAAGAACAATAGAAATATCTGGGAATGGTGTACCGACAACAACAAGATGCCCTGAAAGAATACAACAACATAACAACCGCGGCAAACCCGAAACAACAAAAGTTGAAGAAATCAAACAGAATTCAAAACAACAGATGAAGGCAGAACAAATAATGAAATGGGAAGCTAAGCCACTAGATGGACGAATAGCAAAAGAGGCCCTGACACAGACCCAAAATGCAGACTGTGCAGGTTCTTCAGTGAAACCATCCACCATATTGTTGCAGAAGTATCTGGAGCGCAGTGTTGCCAGGCCTAAAACTTCTATAGCATGAAATTTGAATCATTAAAAACATGAGATTTTTAAAATAGCTGAAAACATGAGGGGCCATTAAAAAATAAATAAAAACAGTTGTTTAAAACTCATGATCTTGCTTCATACCATCATTTGTAAAAAAAAAACAATAAAAATAAATCATCATAAAAAAAAGGGAACCTATTTTAGTACAGAAGGAACATTTGTGTTTTCTTCAATCACAGCTACATTATATTTGATTAATAGTTATTTATACACCAAGTGTGTTAAATGAATGTTTATTCATGAGAAGAAAGTTTAACCCACGAGCCCTAGCGAGTGGGATAATTTTCTTCGAATAAATAAACATTTTAACTCACGTGATGTATACAAAATTTTATCCCATTTTGATGGACATTTGAAAAATAAGGTACTTAATAGGAATCAAATTATAAAAAGAATTCACTTAGCGAGCGCATATATAATATTGCAACTGGTAGTTGCTATGGCATAACTAGTTGTTTGTTTGTATTTGTAGCAGATTTGTATACTGGCAGAGTGACTTAAAGACCCAGAGTGAGTTAATAGTATATTGTTGTATTAGGAGTAGAAGCTTTACTTTTTTGAGCTGAAGCAGTAGGTTTGCGAGCCGAACGTAGTGAGGCTTGCAATACTGCTGAAGCACAAAAAAGTGCTTCTACTCCGTATGCAACACGCTATTTTTTCTCCAAACGAATGGGGTAAGCTCCGGGGCAAGTGGATGGTTGAGCGGCAGTAAAAGTACGAGCGGCACTAAAAGTACTTCTACTGCCGCTCCGGCGGCACTAAAAGTACTTTTGCTGCCGCTAGGGTTGCCAAGCAGCATAGAAATTAAATTTCTACCACCTCGACAGGTGTTAACCCGCTGGATTTGCCTAGCAGCATAGGAATCAAACTTCTGACATCTTGACAGGAGTTAACAAAGTGACGTTTTTCTGACGTTTGGAGAAAAAAATATTTTTTCTAATTTTGACATTTAAAGTGACACTTTTCAAAACTCGTTGAAGTTATCAAATGTCTTACTTTTCATCACCAGTTACGAAAAGTAAAATTTTTCGCAACTGGTGATGAAAAGTGAATTTCACCATCAGTTGCGAAAAATACAGAAATAAAATTTGTGATAATTTTAACGCTAAACTACTTGAAGTATTGTTATTATATTCTTCGTAGGTACATGGTACATATGGAAATTTAATTTGACCATGAACTAAATTTGACATAGGGCCAAATCCTATTTGCTTCTTGACTTCTTAGGAATAATTTATTGTAGATAAAGCAGATTGCTTCTGTAGCAACGAAAAACTAAATACTTAACAAATAAAAAAAAAAATCTCTGAACTCACCTGACGCTTGACAATTAGACATAATCATTCGAAGTATCTTTTTTATATTTTTAACTTGAATTAAACAGGATCACATGGTCAAAATTAGAAAAAATATTGTGTGAAACACGTTGGGAAACACTATTTTTCGTAACTCTCTTCCTTTTGCGCAGAAATCAGTTCGTTACGAAAAATAGTGCTTTTCCCAACTGGTTGCACAAATAACTATTAAGTCACTCAGGTGATAAACGTCTACTTACCTTTGTTATTATGCGTTCAATAATGTTATTTTTAAACGTCAAAATGGGATAAAAGATTTTTAAGTAAATGTCTATACTTTTCCACTACATTGGTGCTGTATATAGTAGGTTTCTTCTCATTTATAAATGTATTATCAATGTACAGTTATTGGACCCAATATATTGTATCGTTCTTAAAATACCAGCTATTGTTCTTTGGGTTTAGGCGGTTTTTGGACTCTGTCAAAAAATCCTCTCACGTGTAGCACTTGAGTATGGTTTAAATTAAACTACATAAATTTAGCATCACCTCTTTTAAGTTTTGAAACTGATAACCAGAAATATTCGCGACAAAATGCAAAAAAACCAACATTATTTAATATCAAACCATAAGGTAAAAAATCATGAGATTTTTACTTGGAAGCATGAGAGCATGAGATGAACAATAAAAACATGAGATCTCATGTAAAATCATGAGGAATGGCAACGCTGCTGGAGCGACACAACACAGTAGCCAGGCAGCTCCACTGGAACATCTGCAAACCTTCTAAGATAGAGGTAAACGAGAAGTGGTACCAGCAAACTCTGGACCCTGTAGTAGAAACAGCAGATGTAACATACTGACAGGAAAATAAATTGCAAACAGACCAGACCTGATAGTCAAACATAAGAAAAAAAGGACTGCCTAATAATAGACGTGGCCACTGGCCAGGCCATCCCTTCTGACTATATTCATTGTATACTATAATCCAACACAGAAGGAAACTGAAAATATGCTTAAATATAAAGACCTGCAGATTGAAGTACAGCGAATGTCATACCAGCAGGCCAAGGAAATCCCTATTATCATTGGAGCCATGGGACTCATCTTTAATGCCACTACCAACATACCATTAAAAAAGTTGCAGGAAAACACAATCTTCTGCAAATGCAAAAAACAGTGGTCCTGAGTACTGCCCATATAGTGCGGAAAGTACTATAAAACCCAGCCCAGTCATCAGCTACCAACGCAACACCCTAGGTGCACGGTGTGCACTCAGTGCTGCTCAATACAAAAAAAAAACATTAGAAGAAACTAAGTGGAACAAAGAAATAAAAATAATAATAATAACAACTAGCCTTTACTACTTTAGCAATTTACACCTAGGTACCGTACGCATCAAAACATTCTGCCACCCAATCTAGCCATAGCCCAGAAACCTGACCAATCAAATTCGATGTGGCTATTTTGGGTGGCATAATGTTACTACATGCGCTGCATCAGGGGTCAGAATATCGGGACGATGATGGCGTTATTTAAAGGGTCTGAAAGTTATTGCATGGGCTAGATTCAGGGTCAGAATGTTACAGGCGATAGAGCATAAGTATTAAACTTAACAAACAATGTTTGATGTTAAAAAATCTATAACTGTCTTTTGTACGTGTTATACAATTCAGAAATTTATATTTTATTTGTGCTCTTTATGGATTTTTTTCATGAATATTTTTTTTGAAGATTCCAAGGGAGAAATTAAGAAATAGGAAAAGACTACACGTATTTGTACAATTTTCTTCCAGCTGTATTTAAAAAAGTTTCCCATGCATTTTTCGTTTTAATTGAACCAAGTCTTGAGATAAATCTTCTGGAACTTTGGGCAGTAGTACCAAATTGTGTATGATTTTTCTTCATCAAATTGATAAGTGAGGCAAAAAAATCTTCACTAGTGTTTTCCTCTTGTTCAAGGTCACTTAATGGTTGACGATTTTCAATATTAGGTTTGTTTCTGCAGAAATCACGAACGAATCAGAGTGAATTTCATTGGTTGCAACCAGTTTTCTGACTGTTTCAACCAATGAAATTCGCTCTGACTGGTCATCATCCGATATCAAACTATTATTTAAGTTAACAGTAGTAAAATTTTCAGGACCTTCATCCACGATATCAGTCATATTTTGATTTGCAACTGCAAATGGCATATACAAATTTTTTGACTGGACATTCTCTTCAAAAGTTAGCTGAGCCATTAAATACCTTGATCCGACACTATAGCTTGGAGTATTCGGAGATGCTTTTTGAAAATAATCTCGTTTTCGGATACTAAGTTTGCACATGCACGATAAGTGTTTTCACTCACATTAGAATAAACAAACGTTGTTTCAATTTCAATAGAACAATGAGCGGGAAATTAAAATAATATGTGGCACTTCTAACGGACAAGTGCAACAGGCCGTCCCGACATTCTGACCCCTGATCTAGCTCATGTAGTAACATTATGCCGCTCAAAATAGCCACATCGAATTTGATTGGTCAGATTTCCAGGATCATATTGGGCGGCAGAATGTTTTGATGCGTACCCCGTACACACATCCCTGAGATTTTAACCAAGATCTGATAAATTGATGTATTGATGTTCAGCTTTGAGTTATAAGAGGGATCTGACTATCTGAAATGAAAAAAGACTAAATTTTCAAATAGTTTACGTCTATTCTATATGAAACACTTCAGCGAACATAAAGCAAAAAATTAAACATTACTTTTATATTTTTCAAACCAGACTTACATGGGCCATAATTAGGTACTTTTGACTTTACCAACAAGAATTTATGATTTCTTAAAACAGACAGCACTTCTTAGAGTAGGTACCACCATTTCTAATACAATCGTTGCAACGATTTTAATGTTTCAATACCATTGGGCATTTTTCTAGTGTATTTTTTTTTGTTAATAATTGTTGAAAATATGATAATCCTTTTTATTTCAGCTCTCTCCTACCAAAGATACATCCAAAGAACTTCTTTGTCGTACCCAAATCGGCAACAAATGGAACCGACGCGACGTACAACAAATCAGCTTCAAAAACTACGATCTGACCTACGCGTTCTACACTAAATTCCCTAGCTGAGGGCGTCGGGAAAGGTTACGCCCTGGCGTAACTCACCACCGCCAACCCTTACACGCATCCTTTTCCGATCCTTCCATTCATTCACATTCCCGACCAAAATTCAATCGTTTCAACAGATCAATTGCCAGTATTTACGCCGAATTGGCAAAATTAGGCTCCGGTATTGTCTCAGATAAAAGTTTGCAAGCATTTTATCAAGCCTTCATGAAAAGTCTACGCAAAAGAAAACTTAAATTTGCTTCGAAAGATTTCTTTTGTTCTTGTTCCAGAGACGAAACGCCCAATATGCGTCGTTTTCGTGAGGCTTTTGGACCTTTTTCGTTTTTCTTCATTTACTTCAGTTTGTTCTCACCCGTTTTCACGTTTACAGATTTCGAGAGTCCTCTGGTTATGTTTTCCTGGTGGCGCAATAAAATATCGTGAGAGTTACTGTTTGAACCGTCTAAGTAGTTGAAACATAGTGGCCAACTGTTTCCCTTCAACCTATGAGGGTTAGGTAGACATCCAGATGTATTTGTACAATTATTGTACCAGTACTCACACTATGTTTTTCTTACTTTAAGGCGGGGCGTTTGAATTTTTCCCTTTTTTAATTTTGTTTTTTATTATTATATGTTTTCAACTTACAAAAACACTATGTAGGGTGTTTTTGTTGTACGTTTTGTGGTTGTACGTATACACTTAAAATTCATATAAATTGCTTTAGTTAATGATTACTAGATGAAAATTTAGTGGCACTTTATATGATTTTTCTGTGTAGGTACATACATATGTAAGAAAATTGGGGCCTTTAGGAAATTAACAATGTGCACAAAAAATTAGGTGCACAACCATTATTGTTTAGTTTTTCACCATCCAGGGTTGGCAAAGGTCCATATTTGTTGTAAAAAGATTTAGATTAGAAATTCGATATTTTGGAGGAAAAATTTTATTAAATATTATATTGTTATTACTATAGTCAAAATGTAGACGTGTGTAGAGGAAATTTTTATCAAATGTTAAACGTTAGAAAAACTTCCTTTAAAATTGAGGAATAGTATTTTCAATTCTTCCGTGTCAATATGGGAGTAATTAGTGTGCCAAATAATGTAAAATCTGTTTATGTTTTATTGTTTAATGTTTGTTTTTTGTTGAATTTAATCTGAATTTTTACACAATATATTTTAAGTGATGCCTCATCTTCTATGAGGTTGCAATTTCACTTTAGGCTTTGGGGAGATGTACATTTCACTGTTTCTCTCGAACAAAATGATACATTTAAAGTTTTGGCATTTTCGATTGGTGAAATGCCATCCAATTTGACCATAACTCTTGTAATAAGTGTCATGACAAAAATTAAATTATCTCTAATAAATAGGTACCTTATTTATGTTGAGTAAGATATAGACGTCATAGCAGCAATCATGGGAAGTTTGTATTGTAATTGTTATACCCTACAACAGAAGTATTTTGAAAATTAGGTACCTAAAAATGTCATGATGTTTTAAATTTTCTTTTTAGTTCACATTATAATGAGTTTTTGGATGTTATCATTCCCTATACGAAGAATGTATATTTTAAGCAAAATTAATTTTAATAGCAAACATTATTATGTAAGGTGTACAGTGACTTCCAGTTTCAAATGTTATTTAAAACACCAATGAATTGGCTGAAAGGCTTTTGAAATATTTGAAGAGCCCTTTGTAGGTCTTCAATAGTAATTTATAACGAATTAAAACTGAAACACACTGTACATAGGGGTAGACTAAGATTTTATATCTCCAAGAGATTTTTCTGTTCATTATTATTTAAGTTTTATTTTCAAAAAGACAAGTCAGTTTTATATTTGTAATGACAGTCAGTTTTCTATTTCTCGTAACTGAAATACTTTTTTAGGAATTCCAATACTTATTAGGAAGTAATTTCTGGATAATTGTAATATCTTGGGCTAGATTTAGTTTTAATTGTAATAATTGTTCAATTCCAATAATAAATAAATTAAATTTACATTAGAAATATTATAGCTATTTTATTTTAAAATTAAGAAACAATAAATACATATTATGAGAACTATTTTGTACTTTCTAATACATACAGGGCGTAAAGGTACTTCCAACTACAAAAATGTTAACAAAGTGACAATATTATGGATTGTTTAAACAAAAAATGCTTATGAAAAAACGATGAAGCGCATTGCCATATATCATTCAACTTAATTTGCAAATTGCTCCGAAGCAAATTAGAATTCACTTATTTAGCTTACAAAATATTTTCTTGTTCAAAATAATCCATAAGTATCACATGTTAACTATTCCTGATAAAAATTTATTAAACATATATCATCAGTCAATGCCAAACTCATTCTTAACCCAAGGATACCGTTTCGGGCATTCGTTGCAAGTCTGCAACTCAATTTCTTCTTTCAAAGCCCTGCTAACCAAGTGACAAGTGTTCGGCACTTGACAGGCAATTTCTTGAGGTCTTTTGAGTCTCTTTCTACAGTCCCAAGGTCGAAACTTCAGCAGCTTTTTCAGTGGAGTCGGGTTTTGCATCCAATCTATTGCTTGTGAGTTGGTTACAAACCAGACATCAGGTTTTGAGAGGATATTGTCTAGAAATTGCTGAAAATAAAAAATACATTTTTCTTTGAAAACATTCAACCAACAACAAGGTTTTTAATTCTTACTTGAAATGCAGCTAAATATTCACTATTTTCAAACCAAGAAGCTTGTAAGTGAATACCAAAGGGTGCCTTATTAGTAGAATAATGTCTATTAAAGTTGCGCATTAATGTTTGATAAATTTCTTGCCCCGACAATTCCGAAGGGCAAGAGTCTAAAGTGGCACAACTAATGTCTAAGGCTTCTAATTGGTTGATGACCATTTGCCAGAGGCCTGGATAGGATCTTGTGGGACACATTTGTCTGAAACCTTCAAAAAATGATTAAAGTATAAAGCACCTATAAGCAAATACATACATTTATGTGGCATTTTAAAGTCCATAGTATAAGGCCATAAAGGTACGTAAGTGTATGGTGCCACAATAGAGCTGTCATATTGAAACCCGAATTCTTTCATCATTAGATATTGACGGTTCCAGCCGATGCGTAGAAACGGTACTCTGAGGCCTTCAATTTCTGAGAGGCGGATATTGGAGAATTTATTGAGGATATTTGCTTGGCCTACCATTTCGTCGAACCAATCTTCGACGGTTGCGTTTTCCGACCACCATTCTTCTGGTAACCTGTGACTAAAGATTAGATGGTATAATTATTAGTGAAAAAGCTTGATGGTCAACTAACAGATAAAAGATATAGTGATTTATTTTTTAGGTACCTACTACCTATACCGCTACCTAAAATCGTGAGTGGAGGAAGCTCCTTGTGGGAAAGAGCTTCCTTTATGTGGTGTGTTAGGGCCAGTACCCTGTCAACCCAAAATAAAGGACATCCTATAAGTTTTTCAGCAACGTCAATTTGTCACAGCCAAAAGACGTCTCTTTGGAACTGTAAAGACTGACATGCGGCGTCTTATTGTCAGACAAAACTGTCGTCTGCTCAAAGTCTTGGTCGGCCCTTGGACATGTTTTTGTCGGACGAGATTGTCATGTGAACGTATAATTGTCGGTTAAAATTGTTGTGCATAGAAATGTGATACCTAGACTTCGCAGAGGGAAATGTCCCAGAAATATACGATTCAGAGACGTTTAAGTTGGTCTTAGGTAAGATGGCCCAGCGTAGATACGTCTTTTCAAAATAATCAAGGAAGTTTGAGAGAGGACGTCTTGTGGAAGGTTGAAAACGTCTCAATTTGGTCAATGTTCTAAATTAGTCATAGGGTAACGTCTTAGGTACGGCTTTTGAAAAATTTTTAAAGACAGTAAAATGGCCCAAAAAAAAAACTTGAAGTATAGTATATATGTTATATACCTAGTTCTGATACGTCTTTTTAAAATAACTAAGGACCTTCGAAAGAATATGTATTGGAGACGTCTTCATCTGGGCAATGTACTAAATCGGTCTGAAAAATAGTCAAAGACCAAGATAAAGTTTTGAAGACGTCTTCATTCGAGTTAAAGACGTCGCAGGTTAAAATGGCAGAAAAAAATACGTCTTGGAGACGTTAACATTGGTCTTTTAAAGTATACAAGGCGGCATAGACAGACACGTCTTTTCAAAACACCTAAGGACATTCAAAATCAGAAGATGGTGTCATGGAAAACGTCCTGATTGGGCTAATGTTCTATAAATAAGTCTTAGATACTCTTTCGCTTAACCTATCTGATTAGATATACAGGGTGTACCATTTAAAACGAAACAGGCTGAATATCTGATGCCACGGTTATTTTTTAAAAAAAAATCGCTCGTACACGTAATTTGATTCTCAAAGGGGGAAGTTTTTAACCCTCTAAGAAGCGGGGTGGGACCAACCCTTACTATCTCAAATGGAACAAAGGGGTCGAGTGATACCTCTTTTAAAAGAGCGTTCAATTATCTTTCATTTGATGTCATTTGAAAGAAAATTGAACGATCTTTTGAAACAGGTATCACTCAACCCCTTGTTCCATTTGGAATGGTAAAGGTTGGTTCCACCCCTCCTAGAGGTTAGTGCTGAAAATGTTTCAAACACTTCCACAATCAAATTACGTGTACGATCGATTTTTCTGAAAATAAAAGTGACATATTATCAGATATTTAGCCTGTTTCGTTTTAAATGGTATACCCTGTATGTATTTATACGGTGTGTCCACTTAAGTTCGCAGCATATGGGAAACTTTCTTATTATCAATTTTATGAAAAAAAGATATTCTTTATAAAAGTTTCTGCTTCTTGAAAAAACAGTATTAAACTATTCAAACTTGAAATAGCATGTACAGGGTGGTCAGAAAATAGAAAAATATACAGGATTTTTTGGTAAAAGTAGAAAAAAAATGGCACGTGACTATTTTTTTAAACCTTTGATATTTTTTTCAGATTAAGCAAGTCATATTATAGTCAAAAGATAACTTTCGTTATCACAAACAAACCTGCCAAATTTGAAAAAAAAAATTAGAAAGGGGATTTTTGAGCGAAAAAAACGTTTTTTTCTAAAACTTTGACACCCTGTATCTTAGAAACTACGCATTTCCTGACACATGTTTATGGGAACTTTTTTTTTAAAATATTGTAAGAAATCACATTCTGAAGTTACGAATCGTTCTTAGGAAACACCCTGTATATTTTTCTATTTTTTGACCACCCTGTATATGCTATTTCAAGTTTTAGTAGTTTAATATCATTTTTCCAAGAAGTAGAAACTTTTATAAAAAATAACTTTTTTTCGTAAAATTGATAATAAAAAAGTTTCCCACATGCTGCGAACTTAAGTGGACACACTGTATATGCTTGAATTCTTTGGTAAAACCCCATACCTCATACCTACCTAATATTAGTCAGGAAATTTTGTGGCTCGATTTGGGTTAATAAATAATTGGATAGCGGGGATACGGCCAATTTTTATTCTAAGAGAAACTTTTTTTTTTCGTAAAAGCTTTCGCAATTGTTTAATTGCTTCTTCAGTTACAAAAGTTGAGTTGAACACCGACTAGAAACCCCCCCAGTTTTCTCGCAAACATCACATTGGAAATCGCCATTGCATTACTTCAATGTGGCAGCTACGACGGATCATTTGCTGCTTTTAAGTATTAATTTATTTTTCCTTGGTTTCTATAATCTCCCTTGTTAAAACTTTGTAGGTGCTTCGTGTGTGATAGATCTCTCATCATGTTCATTTCAGTAAAGCTAAGGTAGTCCTTGACTCTTCTCGTCTCGGTATCTGTCTGATATATTGTTCCATCTAAAACATTGTCCATGTTCTTGCAGTATTGGCAAAGCTCGGTGTTGGATCTTCTTATTCTTTCTAAAGCATCCGTGTTCGGACAGGGCCTGTCTTACGAAGTAGTCAGCTTTACCGAAGCGTCTCCCGTTCCATATTTATGTGTTCGGGATAAGCCTGTAGGTCCACCGTCCCTTCGTACTATTAGTCCAACGTTCATTCCAGTTTCGGTGTAGTGATTGGTATGCGGCATTTTTCTCGAATCCATTGTAGATCCGTTCTTTCATTGATTAGGGAATCGAAGGGTGGGATTCCAGCGCAGTCCAGTCACCGTCTTCTGTACCTTTTCCAGCGTCCGGTATACATGTTCGGAAAATGAAAGTTTCGAGTCCATCATACTCCTAGTATAGGTATTTAAGGCTGCTCTACTTGGCGATATTTCTGTCCCTCGAATCTCAAAATGCACAGGTTCCATCCTCCTTCTTTCCGTAAGCAATACGGCTTTGGTTCTCTCCGGTGCTAGACTGAGACAATTTTTCTCCATCCAGTTTGATATTATCAATATGCCCAGGTTGGCCTTTTCTGTTAGATATTCCTCCTTCTTGTGTGCTATGTCATCAGCAAAGCCGACCAGTGTAATGACTTCTGGGCATCTCCATTCTGAGACGTTCATCATAAAGGACATTCCATAGGGTTGGCCCAAGAACTGACCCTTGGGGTACCCCGCTTGTTATCTTAATGGTTTTGTAGTTTTCTCATTATCAACGATAATTTGTCGTCCGGAAAGATAGGATGCAGTATGCAGTTAGTCTTTGTCTATACCTTTTTTTTTCCAGGTTGTCTATTATTTTCTGCCAAGTGGCACTGTTGAACGTGTTCTTTACGTCCAGTGTTAAACCGCACATATTTTGCGGTTCTGGGGAGAATAGTCCCAAGCCTGCTCTGCAATTCTTAGAACATCCATAATGGCATCTACGGTCTGTCTCTTTTTCTGAATCCATACTGCAAGGCTCTCAGCACGGTTTAGTTCTGTCTTGAGCCTAGACAGAAGTATTTGTTCATAAAGCTTCCCCTCCACATCCAGAAGTCAGGAGAAACATGGGTTGGTAACCAGACGGGTCATTGAGTGACTTCTTTTACCTTTATCCTTATACCTTTTGGCGCTAGTTGGTCCATATAACCTCAAGACGCAGTTACATACAACCATTGTAGCACTTCGCGCGCAAATTCAAATATAAATGGCGCAGCGCAAGCGCATATAAAAGAAATGTACCACGCGGATAATTCGTTTTGCAATTAAAAGCTTTGTTCCAACACATCAGAAAACCGTATACCTACTATGTACCGTCACGATTCTGCGCAAAGCCTAAAATTTGTGCGTAGAATCCAAAATTCGTAGAGGCATAAGAGTTGTAGAAAGTGAATGAGTTAGTTGTCAGATAAGTTACTCCATAGCCATGTCCTTGTTACTTTATTATTGTCATGGTTGTATGTAGGACTTTTATTGCCGTGTCTATACATTCGTCGTATAACCAGTTTTTTCGAGATTCTGATGCGTTTCTATTCGGTACACATATTGCTAGGATGCCAATATTTTCTTTCCAGGCAGTGACAATTGTCATGTGCTCTAAACAGGCTTCTATTGGTATTGATTTGCAAAACCTTCCATATAATTTCTTTCTCTATTTCGTCTGAGTTATTCAGTTTTTTGGCTCTTGTGGAGTTCTGTGTTTAGGGCAGGCTTGGCTTCCCGTTTGGTGGCCTGGCTTCTGATAGTGTAGACAAAAAGCTTGGTTTCTACAATTGACAGCCTTGTGCCCTTCGCCTCCACATCTCAAGCATAGGTGTTCTCTATTTGGCCCTTTGCAAGTTGTCTTAGCACACTCCCAACATCTATAGAATTTTTCACTCTTTTGTCTTTGTACTGTTTTGCAGATCACCCATCCCATTCTCAGGTGACGGATTCCATATATCAAACGAAACTTAAGTTAATGGAGATTGAACATTTTTGTTACCTACCTATATTAAGAACTCAACTCATGCCAAGAAACTAGACATACTTATTTGAAACCATAAAATTGAACATATGTAAGTATTGAATTGAAATTAAGATATCAAACACATAAAATAATAACTGGGCAGAACAAACAAGAGAGAATTAAACACTGAGTAACTTTAATTTGGCTAGAAGTTAGTAGTAAAGATAGTATAAGTTCGAGTGTAGGAAGTATGTATAATATCACATCTGTAAGCGCTCCTCAGACAATTTATATATAAATAAACATCGAAGATCCAAGACATTGTAGACAGTTTAAAATGAATAATAACGAGAATTTTTTTAGTGTATTTGAATTTAGACAATTAGATAAGACTTTTTAGCCCGATCTATGACTGATCAGAAAATTTTAGAGTGACATGAAACTGAGTGCAATAATCTAATTTAATTAAATCTCCAATATTTAAAGAGCAATTCTGATTTAACAGCAATAACACAGATAGCACAGGTCGTCTCCAGGACATTTAGATCACATATGTAAGTCTTACCGTCTCAGACTAAAAACCCAAAAACCGAGATCCTGAGAACGTCTGCTAACGGCTAATCTAGAAACGTATGTTTTGGACATCCTGAGGACGCCCGTTTCAGACCCCATGTGGGTCTTAGCGTTCCAGAACTTTCGCAGGACATCCGCAAACGACTAATTTAGGTATACCTTTTGTGTCTTGTGACATCCTGAGGACTTTCGTTTTAAATTCCATGTCCATCCAAACGTCCCTGGAACTTCTTATTTGAATATCCCTAGTTCTTCTTGGAACTCCCTATTTGGATCTCCTTGAATGTCCTATTCTTAACATCCCTAGAACTTTCTCTTTAAACCTTCGTAGGAGTTTTGTTTACACAGCCCCAGGATTTCCTCCTGAAATGTCCCTGGGACTTCTTTCCAGGACGTACTCAGTATGAAAGGTTTTGTAACGAAATATATCCTAGGTATATACCAGATAAGATCAAGGACTTTTAAAAGACATCCGGGTAGGACATTTAGTAAGTCCCGATTATATCTTCAAGACGTTGCTAGTAGGTATGCACTTATGCTATCTGGGAAATTGAATATTGGCATTTGTACAAATTACTTAAAATATTGGAAGGTTTTCTAAGTTCAAATTAAAATAATAAATAATTAAAAAAAATTGCCAGTCTCAGTCTTGCCTAAAACCATCAATACGCGGGTTGCTAAATTAAATTACTACATGCTAACAAGAATGCTTTAAAAACTCCCAAAAATAGATTCCCTAAATTCAACTAACATTTGTGACATCATACACCATCACTAGGCACCGGAAAGACATTTAGTTCTAGAGACCAAGCGACAGATTCATCTAAAAAACAGTATTTATGACCGACACGAGTTTCGGCCTGTCTCATTTCTACATTTTCGGTCAAGTTTTTCAGTTCTTAGTGGTGAAGACCAACGACAGGTACCGTTCTTATGGATTCCAACAGCAATCAATTGCGAATGTGTTATCCCAATACCTTCTAATTCACATTTCACTCCCATGCTAACGGTAACCGCCGAAGGTTGCCGTTGCTCTTCACCACTTTTTCTTCTTTTCATGTCGTCTTCTCATTAAAGGTTGGCGGCCACGTTTCTGAATGCATCTCTAGCTGTCTCTTGCAACATGACGTTTCGGAGCCAGGATTTTTTCTTCCTGCCGATACCTTTCTTCCTCTCTACTCTAACCTGCATTATATTTTGTTAGTAGGTATTTATCGTTGCGTAAAATATGTCTTATGTAAGATGTCTTTCTTATCTTAATGAGTGTCAACAGCTTTCTTTTGTGACCAATGCGTCTTAAGACTTTGTTGTTGATGATTCTGTCAGTCCATATGGTAGTTATTTTCAGGATGCGTCTATAGTGCCACATCTCGAAATGCCTCAAGTTTTTTGATCATTTGAGCTTTCAAAGTTCAAGTTTCTACTCCGTACAACAATACTGACCACACGTAGCATTCCATAAACCTTACTCTCATGAGGAGGTTTAGGATTTCTGTTTGTAAGCATTGAGGAGTATTTGACAAATGCCTTTCGAACCATTTCTATTCTGATCTTAATTTCTTCGTCTGGATCCATTCACGACTGAACCGGAGATATGTATTTGTATTTTTGCACCCGTTCTATTTGTTTTCCATCCAATGTGAGAAAAGGTTAAATGTTTGGGTTTTTACTTATAAGTATGAATTTAGTTTTTTTTTCGGTGCTTATACTGAGTCCTACTTTTTCACACTCTCGGTTGACTGTCTACTGTCTCTAATAGAGTTTAAAGATCTTCTGCACTCTCAGCCATATACTCATACCATTATGCATATTGTTCGACTGTTAGAGAAATTGTAACGGTCTTACTTGCTCAATCCAGTTCATGCAGATAAATCCACAAGGTGATTATTTATCCATTTATCACCACTATTCACAATGGCAGCTAGGGAATTTTCCACTGAGATGAAAAGAAAACACAATGATATACAGGTGCGTTGGAGCCCGTTGAGATTGAGAGAGATAGAGCCAAAAACAAGCGTAGGAGAGAATTTTACTTGTTCGAGGTAACTTGCAACAATTAGGGGTTAATTACATGAATTGTTATCAATAATATAGACCATGTCAGGCCTTGAGACACAGAGAGTAGTATTTTACTATAAATCGCGAGTACAACGGGGGTTTTTGGGGGTTTTGCTCCTGGAGAGCATTCAGAGGTCGTGAGGGTGCGAACTCTTCGCTTGTTCTATTAGTACTGAAGAATGTGCGTCGACTAGCTCTGCCAGGGAGCAGGTCGCAAAAAACTAGGGGTTTTGTGTGGCGGCTGACCAATCACACGGCGAGAAAGGTTCAGTGCCTTATAAGGTAATGAAGAAATCTGCAATTTTACCGGTTCAAAGGGTTGTTGTTGCCGGTTTTACAGGCATCTATTTTTAGAATATCTATTATTTTTATGGTAAATAATAGAGAGGAAAATTATATTAAATTAGAAATAACAAAATTTAAACTTGTTGTGGGTTATATCCGATCCGCAACATCAATGAAACAAACGTTGACTTTTATTGTATTCTCTACTTTTCTGTAGCAGCACTGTGATAGCAAATAATGCTTCTCCAGTTCCTAATTCTACTCTTAAGCCAAACTGCGCCTCATCTAGGTGTTCTTCACATTTTCGATATATTTTCTGTTGAATTATTTTCAAAAGTACTTTTAGTGTGTGATTCATCAAACTGATCATTCGATATTCATCACAGGACTTTCTGGGTTCTTCTTCTTTTTAGGTAAGGGAATGAAGAGTGATTCAAGCCAATCTTTTGAAATTTCTCCTGTTTCACAGATTTTTTTTGAGTACTTTTGTAAGTTGAGTCAAGTTTCCATCGTCCAAGGCCTTTAAGAACTCTATTGGAATGTTGTCAGGTCCAGCTTTTCTGTTTTTCGGAATTTGTATGGCATATACTCCACTTCTGATTTGAAAATACATAGCTGCTTCGTCTGTCTGTTTTTCTTCTCTTACATCATCTCGTTCTGCTGCAAATAGATGTTTCATGTAGTCTGTCAACTAGATCTTTCCCTGGATGTTTCTTCTGGCCGCTATTATTCTTTTCGTTGTGTTTCCAGGTATTTGCTTAAATTTTTTATGTAGATTGAAATAATCATGTTTATTGTTCAGCTCTTCCATTTCATGACAGTTTTTTCCATTCATCCTTCTTCGGCTCTTTTTATGTTGTGCTACACTTGCTTTTTCAGTTGCGTGTATTTTTGTGGGTTAATGTTCTTGGAGTTACGCTTTTCTTCTTTCATTTGCAAATAGACTCCTTCCACAAGTTTAATTGTAGCTACCCAAGGAAATAACACCATCAACAAGACCGCAAGTCATTTATCATCTCTAAATAGTAAGAGTATAGGTACCTATTTGGGCAGTACCTCGGGCAGTACCTATGCTACACACTTATCAATCATTTCCGCAAAATTTTTCGATGGATACTCTTCGTTTCATATAGGTATCAAATGTAACAGTTTACTTACGTGACAGAATGTACAGCAATTTCATGTCCGTGATTCCATAATCTCTGAGTGAAAAAATAATTGGTATACTGATGGCTAACGAAAAATGTAGCTGCAATAGGACAATTATTAGGATTCACATATTTTCCTGCGAAAAGACTACTGAAATAGTCGATATTGTCATCGTTGATTGAATCTTCGAAGGTTATCAGGACCATTTGAGGTACGTCATTCGGATGAAAATGACCTGGGATTTCTGTACCTAATAAATAGATATGGATAGTGTGATAATAAAATATATGTCACCAAAACTCAACTCATTCATAATAGATATAATGCCTAATTCACTTACCATTTTTCGAACAAAAACAGTTGGGTAAGAGGCACTTGCTAGGGTCACATAGTGACGCCCCTTTGGGGTCTTTATTGGGGTCGCATTGGGCTTCGTCACTGCCATCTGGACAATCTTGAGAGCCATCGCAAATATAATCATTTGGTATGCACGTTTTGTTGTTTGAGCATTTTATTTGGTTTTTCAATTCGCATTGATCGGACTGTTCGGAGGATGTTGTTTTTGATGACGAAGATTCTGAAAAATATTATCAATTTGTTTTCTAGCATACCTTGTAGGCTACATTTGACCGGCATAAGCTTTTTAACCCACCCAACAGAAAATGTTATGTTCAGATTTGATTTTTGACTTCAGATTTGCCAGAAGTTTCCCTAGCACTTTAAGAATAAGTCAAGACACTCTTAAAGAAATATTTAGGCAGCAGAGGTACTATATTATAAAGGCCATAATCTAAGATAGGAATTGCTGTAAGAACTTATTTTTCTACACAGAAAATGCCTTTCCAATTTCTTTAGTGAATTTTTAGGGTCACGCGCCGCCCCTAATAACATCATCCTATCATTTCAGTAGGTACAATAATCCATGAACAAAACAATAATTACAACTATGTAATCGCCCAAACGGAAAAACGAAAGGAAACAAAATTGAGGTCAATGAAAATAAAAATATAATCTTTGAAGAAGATCGCCTCACCAGCAAATTTGACTGTGAAAATAATGCCAATTACAGGAAACGCCATACATAAATTGGTCATTGAGTCATTATAATTCTACAATTTGTCTTACGTCTTGATAGTTATCATGTCGTTAAGTTGGGTAAGAGACATTTTTTGCAAAAACCCAATTAAATATTAAACACAATTATTCAGTTCCTAGTTTCTATTTTGATATTTACCTGTAACTTTGTCACAATTATTCACTTTGTCTTTGGCTTCGCATATTTGTTTGTCCACATCGAAAACCAGTCCACTGGAGCATTGAAAATTAAAAACTTCTCCGTCCAAGCATAAATAATATCTAGAACATTCGTCGCTGGACCATAAAAGATCTGCTTCTGTTTTGGGATTTCTGTAGAATCGTCCTGATTCTATACATTTGATTTGATGAGCAAAGGCATCTGCAATTTTGTTACATTTCATAAGTGATTTAACTTATGGCAAATCAGAAAAAGTATGTACCCAGTGGTAATTTTTAAAAAAACAGAGCCACATGACGTTGAAATTATATAGCCTCTTTAAATAGTTGATTTTGGTCCTTATTGAAAGCTATACATTTCATTTCTAGCTTTTGCAGAAATTAGTTAATATAGAGGATTTTTGTAGATCCATTCTGATTTGATAGGTACATAATCATTCTCATGAGTAAAACTCCATTGAACACAATGTTAAAAGAAATTACTTATACATTCTATGCCTACTAACTGAATATTTGAAAGTAAAAGCTGCAGTTAATGGCCACTTGAATTAAAAGAGTTATTGTCCATTATGTTAATGAATTATCGGATAAATTAGTTTCACTTTTTATGCTAACATGGTAAGTATCGAAGACTGCAGTTAAAATTATATCTTTTTAAGGAATTAAAAATGTGTCTAGGTATTCTTGTCTTGTAATGTAATACCTACCATGTATTACAGGTTTATCATTAATTAACTAAAAAAAGGTAAAGTTGTGTTACAAGACTTAGTGCAATAACCAGAATTATTTTGCGGCTTTTATCAATTAATTAAACAAATATAAATTCACTTACCCTGTATAATTATTATTAAATTCGCTACTGCGAACCAAAGAAATGTTTTCACGAGCGTGCCCATCACTTTTTTGAAACCTTCTTCGCTTTACGCGCTTCTACATCTCAAGAACATGTGTGTGTGTGTGCGCGTATGGTGAATATTTGTTTCCTTTTGCATTACTATAAACTTTCTCAATCATTATCATAGGAAAAAAAGTGATACGCCGGCCGTGCCGGCAAAAGCGGTTTGTTCTGTTTCGTTAAACATTTTTTTGTGTGACTTTATAGTATATCTTTCCTGCTTTTCTTTTGTTTGAAGTATCTATTTCACTTTCTTTATAGTGCTGTTATTTAATATTTATGCACGGATTCAGTAGATGAAAATAAATTCTTGAATATTAGATCTGGTAGGATGATTAAAGTTGTAGGTACCTACTCTGCTAGAAGTTTATAAACTGTACCCCTGTCCTGTGATGACTCGAATCTGATGTACAGAACTAAAAATACCGAAAACTTCCTCTAATTCTTATTAGCTACCAATAATCATTCCCATTAGGTATCCATTGTATTTTTATCTCCAATCAGACCGGAAGGCATTCCCCTAAGGAAAAGTCATGTCTGCATGCGACCCATTATATATTAAAGATAGAAGGCGAAGGAATATATCAACAGGCCAGAAGAATTTCCAGAAGCAGTTGAAACAGAAATAATTAGGATCAATTGAGTGGAAGTGTCTTTGGTGGAAGTAAAAGCAGTAGCTACGATTAGATATAGTGCAGGCGATCAGTAAGAGGTGAAGTGGCAAAGGGAGTAGGTACCGACATATCAATGCGAAAAGAAATTATTTTAGTCTAACGAAAAAAAAAAACACGAATTCAATCTAGAATTGGAACTTCTATAAAGGTCTGCTCCAACCTGCTAAAAAACCGTCCCAAGAACGGTTTCAGAACAAAGAATTTCAGATTCTACGCAAAAAATTTGCGTTTTGCGCAGAATCCTGACGGTGAAATGTACGGTTCCCTACTGGGTTGAAACAAAGCTGTATTACGTAAGTAGGTTCCTAGATCAGTGATACCTACTCTACTATACCCTTACAAAATTGATTTTAACTTTATTCGAGACAAAAATTTGGACGAAGCTAAAGCACTATTACAACACTTTTGTTTGACAACAATCCAACTACACTAGTCACAAAACTAGATCACAATTTATCTTACTATAACGACTTGAAGTTCACTATTTTATAAAGCACATGGAAAACAATAAGTACTACTATAGCTTAACCCACGTTTGCTTGTGCCCCTAGATCATTTCATCGGACTATAGATGAAGTGGAGTCGTCATTTTTGCCTTCCTTTTTGCCAGTAATTGCATTATCAGTTGTTTCCTTCCCTGATCGACATGGAGTTTTATCGGTAGGTACAAGATGTCATTGGTAGGTATACCCCTTCTGGCGATGGTGTTTTTCAGTAATGCTTCAATTAGTAAGAGCTTCTTGATTGAGGAGTTGGAACTCTACTTCTGGGCTATTTTGAAAATTAATCCAGATCAACCAATCGTTCTCCGAATCTGTTGTTGAAAAATAACCTGCAATATCTACTGCAATAATTATCACGTAAGGAGAACCAACCAGGTCGCTGTCCGTTTGCTAACACGAAAACTTAAGTATACCTACCAATTTTTTTCATCATCTTGTTCTTTTTCTAAGTGTTCGTCGTCAGTATTATAGTAAAGTCCTTACGTATTTATAGTTCCTGGAATTTAATCCGGGTAAATCGATTTGACTATAGAATCACTTCCGGTATCATCATCAGCCGTTTTGAGTCCACTGCTGGATATAGGCTTTCCGTAAATCATTCCACTGCCTTCGGTCTTGTGCTCTTTGCATCCAGTTGGGCTGGCTGTGCTCAATGTCGTCCGACCATTTTGTTGGGGGATGTCCTTGGTTCCGATACGCATACGCATCGTGCCACTCTAGTATTTTCCTAGTCTGCGTCTTACATCTCTGATTCTGGCAACATAACCTGCCCAGTTGCATTTTAGCGTTGTAACTGCGTCCGTAAGCCCGATTCTTCGGAGGTATATACTAAACATTGATCTCTCCATTACCCCCTGTGCCACTTGGAATTTGTTAACAACTTTTCTGGTTAGAATAAGTGTTTCTGTGTGCTCCTTCCAGTGTTAGAACTGAAAGCACACATTGATCAAAGACCTTCCTCTTCAAGACATGGGAATATCGGATTAAAATACATCCGTCAGTTCTCCGTAGTCTGCTTATGTCAATCCTATTCTCCTGTTCAATTCTGTGGTCTGGATGTCTCTTAATTTAACCTCGTTGCCTATATAGGAATTAACTTGTCTTGGAGAAGCTGTCATGGATGATCTACCCTGTTTGCAATAAGGACTATGTCGTCTGCAAACCTCAGATCTAGATACTCTCCATTGAGGTTTTACTCCGCGATACTTTCCCAATTGTTGTTTTCCATGGCACTTTGGAACAAAGCAGTGAGTAGTTAGTTACCTATATGAATATGTTATTTATAGTCGGGATGAAGCCAGTTATTAAAAGAAAAAAAGGGACTCTTTTATCTTTTGAAAGCTTTCGCAATATTTTTTATTGCTTCTTCAGTCATACTTAAAACATATTATTTAATAACTGGTTTCATCCCCACTATAAATAACATATTCATATAAAGATTCAAGCCACAATAATACCTAATATGTTACCTATATGTATATATATTATACAGTGTGTCCACTTAAGTTCGCAGCATATGGGAAACTTTTTTATTATTAATTTTACGAAAAAAAGTTTATTCTTTATAAAAGTTTCTGCTTCTCGAAAAAATAATATTAAACTGCTAAAACTTGGAATAGCATGTACATGGTGGTCAAAAAATAGAAAAATATACAGAATTTTTTGATAAAAAACGGTAAACGTAGAAAAAAAAAAGGCACTATTTTTTAAAACCTTTGATATTTTTTTCAGATTCAGCAAGTCGTATTAAAGTCAAAAGATACCTTTCGTTATCACAAACAGACCTGCCAAATTTAAAAAAAAAGGGAAAATGGATTTTTGAGCTAAAAAAACGATTTCTTCTAAAACTTTGACACCATGTATCTCAGAATCTATGCACTTCCGGACACATGTTTATGGGAACTTTTTTTTTGAAATATCGTAAGGAATCACATCCTGGAGTTAGGAGCCGTGTATATTTTTCTATTTTTTGACCACACTGTACATGCTATTTCAAGTTTTAGTAGTTCAATATTATTTTTTCGAGAAGCAGAAACTTTTATAAAGAATAACTCGAGGAATAACTTTTTTTCGTAGAATTGATACTAAAAAAGTTTCCCATATGCTGCCAACTTAAGTGAGCAAACACACTGTATATTCTGAAGAAGAGAGTTATATACCTGATACTGCACTCTGTAAGCGCTTTTAACATGCAGCTATGCTGGGCTGGACTTGAGACAAAAGCTTTTTCAAAATCCACAAATATTAACATTATTAATGGTTTGTTGTAGGTATTCTACAAGTTTCTCTATCAAGGATTTTATCACTTTTAGGTGGTCATTTGTTCCAACACCACTTCTAAATCCGGCTTGCTCTAGTGGTAAGTGAAAATTTAGCTTAAGTCGCATTCTTTTAGCTTCTTTTGAGACAAAGTTTTACGTTTAAAATAGGAAAATGGTCGAATAGCAGCGTCTTTTGTCGTACAGACAGCAAGCTCCGGAAATCGTCCAACGGGTGCGCAATTCAATGATTCGAAGGATAAACTTATGTAACGAAGCTGGACGTCGTCCTTTTGAAGCTTTATTATAATTTTGTCCATCATCTTTAATTAAAAAAAAATTGATATTAACGTGAGGTAAATCGCCAATGTATTCCATAATTTCAGTGTACAAGCCTCATGTAAGTAATCTCTTGTATTCTTATTTTCACATGTAATCCAATATAAATTCTTCTGTATGTCCTATGTATACATAGAAATGTAAACCTCAAGTAAAGAAGATACCTACTTCAAACGAGTTCATCTGAAATCATGAAGGAGAAATATAACGCTGTCGCCTATGAACATCAATGGTATATTGGTAGATGTATTGGAATAGAGAACAACAAAATGCCGACTCAAATTTTTAAAATCTGAACTAGATACTTTTACTTGGCTTGGCTTAGAGCGGTATATTGATGGTGTTTATTTACTTGGAGCTGCTACCTAAAATCTGTGGAAGGGTCAATTTGCAAGAGAGAGAAACAAACTATTGAGGTGTACTAAAATTATGTTTTTAGGCGACTGCCACAAAAAGATTAGTTTTACGGATTCAATATCATCCCTAAAGTATATCTTTTTTGGCCGCATTTACTTTACGGCCGCATTCACTTCACGGCCGCATTTGCTTTATTACTTTACGGCCGCTTTTACTTCACGGCCGCTTTTACTTCACGGCCGCTTTTACTTCACGGCCGCTTTTACTTTACGGCCGCTACTTTGGTGAAAATAAACAATTTTTTCTATAATCACACTCTCTTTATCCTAGTTTTTGTTATTAATAATTGTGTATCTACCTATCTTTGCTGGATTATTTATTTGATCAATAAAGTTTAAAGCTACTGTTGAATTTTATTCTTTTTTCAAGAACAAACACTCGCCTAAAAAATTTTGTGTGCACCTCGGCCGAATGATCTTTTTGGCCTCACCTGAAATTTGCTTGACCTCGGCTGCGCCTCGGCCGCAAATTTCTGTTTCGGCCAAAAAAGATCAACTTTACGGCTTTGGTACACAAATAACTATTTATTATACATAAAACCCAAAAATTTAAATCAGCAAAATATCTTCCAATTCTGACAGCCTCATCTATTTCTATAAATTCAATTACTTCACATCCGTTCTGAAATTGTTATTATTACGGACCACTGAAATATCCCTACTAAATAAGAAACGCCCTATTTCTACTATTCCTAATAACTTATAAGTTAACTCATTTCAACACTTCCGATTCATTCCTATTAACTACCCTTCACCTATTTCTCTAAATTCTTTAAAATTTCTAAGTCCTTTACTGACTGCTTATGAAAACCCAAAATAATTACCTATTTGTTTATCAATATAGGTATTAGTTTACAATATTTTTTTTCAATATTAGGCAATTTTTCGCGAGGATCTGAGTGCGGTGAAAAGGTTTTCAAACGAGTTTTGCGTACAATGCTTTTCCTATACAACTGCAAAATAAAACAACCATATATGAAATATGTAGGTAAGTTTTATTTGTTAAAAAACAAATCATCAACATGTCATGTTAGGATGATAGGACCAAAATAAATGGAAAACTGATGAGCAGCATGTGAAAAACTTTTTCGCACTCTGAGGAGCGTGTGAAAAACTTTTTCGCACACTGTGCGAAAAAATCTATTTTCAGAAGTTGCCTAGCGTGCGAAAAGCTGCTCCATTTTTACAGGCAGTTGTAGGAAATTATTATTCAATTTTGATTAACATAATAATAGGCAAAGAGGAATATAAAAACAAGATTTAAAAAAGAATTGTTTTAGAATGTTAATCAATGTTGTAAAACCAAGTATGCAAACCCGCAGGATTATAACCTGTGGTGCAAACAGCCTACGCCAAGGCGAGAACGAGAAAGGACATGCTGCTACGTCACAATTGGTGATTTGGCGTTGTGGGCGGCTTCAGATTTGTTTCACACAGGCCTTATCAGGATATCATGTAGTAGTAGTGTTTATTATCCTTGCTTCCTGAACGCGTGTGGAGTTGCTCTTTTAGCTCAAAATGACAATACCCGAACGCATCGAGACTGTTAAGTGCACGAGTTTATACAAGCTGAGTTCGGAATGGTAGAAAGTGTCGACACTTTTTACACTATTGACACTGTGGCGTTCGTTAATTGGAAGGAGTAAGTTAAGTTTGGTGTACACTTTATTTGCGTTTGGAAATGATTTGTGTCCAAATGGTGTAAAGATGGTGGGACACCGTTTACTCGTTACAAAGTGATGGTGTATTTGGTGTTACACCGCCGATTACACCTTCATCACGTGATACAACACTGCACTACACGAACACTGCACTAGCACTGCACTAAAATCAAATCTCATTCCGAACTCAACTACAGTGACTAACCGTGCGTTCGATAATTCGATCTGAGTTCTCCGAGCTTGAATTTACCGTTCTTTTATTTAGAAAGTATACTCGGTGCAGGCTCAATCGCGTTAGTTTATTAAAATTTCGGACGCTCTGCTCTTTGAGCAAAATACCGAACGCATTTTCGTTTTATTTAGGTTTGTCAAATGTTATTTCATGGGCTGCGTTCAGGAATGGCTACAGCCAAGCCAAAATTGGCATTTTGCGTTCGAATTCGGCTCCAACCTACGTGGTTCGGAATTCTGTGGAGGGGGAAAAGTAGGTTTGGGCATTAGCATTGCTGTCCTTGAACGCACCCATGAAATTGTTTACAATTTTCAAACGGTTGTTTGGTTATGGTTTGGTAACCGAAAATTGTCTAAGCGAAAACCGAATTCCGAACTTTCTTCAATTAACCAACAGTGGATCAAACTAAATTAAAATGGTAATGCTAACTCCTTTGGACATAGAACTCGTTCTAAACTCCCATTGGTAAATATACAATTATTGTAATGTTAGGTGTATTTTACTCAGGTTTTTATAACTCCTCTATTATTCTCAGTCAACACTCCAAACAAACTCTAATTACTGTTGCCGAAAACTACTTGGAAAAGTTGCAGCTCCGTCCGAATTCGATAATTTCAAATTTTGATAATTGGAGTCAGGAAGACAAACCTAAATACGGTCACCTATTTCAACATATTGTCATAGGAGACGTACCAGATCCAGTAAGTACTGAAGTAGTTTACCTTCCAACCAATCCAACCCCAATTAGGTACTCATGGTACTGTGAATTCTTTCTTATCATCTTTCTTGACATGGTATGGTCAATTGTAAAATTAAAAATGAAATTTTGAGGTACATTTTAGCAGCTTTTTAAATTTTTATACCTAATAGTTTATGCAAGGTTGAGTGTTCGGCTTATTGCAAATTACACAATTGCAGCTTGTAAATTTCAGGTAGGTACTTAAAATAATAAAGTTCATGATATTTTCTCTATGAACTTTCCTCAGAACTACAAATCAATCAGGTACCAAATATAAGAGATATAGGCTGTTGTTAGTAGTCATGATTGGCTCTCAACTACATATTATATTGCTATAGAGTATCAGCATATAAATATGCATTAATTATTCAAACTAAATCAGGATAATTTATCAATTAAAATCCAGATTATGTACAGTGGGAATCATTACAATTGGCACACACTCTTAACATCCTTCGTATTAAGTCAAAATTCTAACCAATAATTCTGTTTAGTGCAGTGTAGGGATAACAAACTATCGATAGGAATATCGATACTATCGATATTTTTTTAATTTTCGATAGTATCGATAGCCCTGTACCAATATCGATAGTTCCAAAAGTAGCCAAATGTAAATGAAGATATCTGTAGATTGAGGAAAATATAAAGAAACCTGTAGCTGTTTTGAGAAATCTGTAATTATTTTTTGATGGGGCAGACATGCTGTGCCGCCAATTTTTAATTTTTAGGTTAGGAGGAGTGACATTAGGTCTGTTTCTGCAGAAATCACAAACCAGTCAGAGTGAATTTCATTGGTTGAAACTAGTTTTCTGACTGTTTCTGTTTTCAACCAATGAAATTCGTTCTGACTCGTGTGTGATTTCTGCAGAAACAGACCTTTTGAATTCTATCCATCTGTCAAAACGAATAATTCAATATCGCGTGGCGGTCAGCAAGTTTCTTTTGAATATGTATTTTAGTATTTTCATGCATATTTTAATTATTTTGCTTCGGGTTTTACTTGCAGCTTTGATTTTGATTATTCAATAAAATATTTGTTCACTAGGTACGTAAACTATTAAGTCGGGCGGAAACTAGATATTTTTTTGTGATTTTTGGTCCATGTGAGGCCGCAACGCCATCTTGAATGTCTCGTGGTTTGAATTGCCTAATGATTATTTAAGGTTTGATGTTATTGTTGTCATTTGATAAATTTATTTCGTAATTATTCACAAATTTGGTTACTTTGGTCAGAGCAAACTATCGATAGTACGATCGATAGTTACTATCGATAGGTAGGCCATTTTATCGATATCACTATCGATAGTTTTTTTTTCGATAGTTTGTCAACCCTAGTGCAGTGGTGTACATGATAATTTAGCTCATCGACCCGCATTTTCCCTTTAAATTCATGATCGCGCTACTGCCAGAACCTAGGGCTAAGTGCGCGTTCACATTGACACTGCTCGAGCGGTGAGCGTTGCGCGATGCCGCTGTAGCGATGCCCAAAAATAATTTCAACATTATAAACTCATCAAAAAAGTCTAGGGAACAAGAAATATTCGTCTTTTAATTTTTAGACAGAATAACTTTTTTTTAAAAGATACCATATGATGGGTATTTGTTGAACAAATCTTGTAAAATTTATCATATCAGCTTTTCCAGCAGGCTTTAACAAAATTTAAAAATCTTTTAAAAGTATATTTTGTTCAATTTATAAATGTATTCAGTTGCATCTTGTTCCCTAGACTATTTTGATGTGTGTATTTCATACTGTTCACCACTGACTTAGCAATCTGACAAGATTTTGACATTACCTGAGCTGCGTGAAAAATAGATTGCAGTTATTCTTGATTTGGTACAATAGCAACAATGCAGCTTCAATAAATCTGTATCTATAAGATTCGAATTCTTTCAACCTCAATTTTTATCAAGGAATACCAACAGAAGGAAATTTTCATTTTCTTCCATAAATTTCAAGCTTTTGTTTCTCCAACATTTTCCTCAAGAATAAATACTTACACACATTTTTCCCACTACTTTTTAATTTCAATGTGATTAACGTTATTACGCTCAAATTAAAGACAGTTGAATCCTCTACAAATCTCTGGTCAAAGGTTTCAATGCAGCTTCAATAGTTTTGCAGCTGGAAAGCTTTTTTGACTTTGGTTTTTAGCAAGGTGAGCTAGCAGAAGGAATTTTTTTTTCATATATTTTTTATTTTTCTATCCCTTGCTCTATCCATTTGCCAAATTTCAATCCAATCCCTCACACATTTTCTGCAAAGAGAAATAAAATGTCTCTCAGTGTACAGGGTGTCCAAGATTCGATAGTTTTGGGGGGTTTCAGGTATTTCTAAAGGAGTTGGAAAAGATCTGACCCCCACTTGCGAACCTCGATTTTCAAGAATAATTGACTGGTGAAAACCGCATCTCGATATGAAGAGTTGTTTTCGATATGTCGCGGGGTTTTTGAAAAGTTTGAAGTTTGGCAGGGGGTCTATATTGGTCAACTTTTCCCCTTGTAGCTTGAAAGCGAATCGAGATATCAAGATGCGGGTTCCACCCCACAAAAGGTTTGAGGTCCTGTCATTCGCATTGACGAGCCTTCTCGGGCTATGTTTTCAGCGCCTTCATTGCGCTGATGGCCTGCATGCCCTGGTACCCATGATAATTGATAGTGTCACCTTATTCTGACTTCCTGTCTCGTTTAATGCTTTGTGACAATCGAAAACTAACTTTGATGTTATTTTGTTGGACTGAACCGCTTTTATTGCCGCTTGGCTATCAGCATAGATCACAATAGTTTTATTGCGAATTTTCTTCTTATTTATCTTCGTTTGGAAGACTGTTGCTAGGTCGTAGATTTCCCATAAATATCGGAATTTTAGTTTCTGTTCTAGGTTCGAAGAATCCAGCTCCTACTCCTTCCTGGGTTTTTGAGTCATCAGTGTACCAGATTGTTCCCGTCCTTATTATAGATTCCGGGCGTTCGGTATTTTGATCTGAATTTTCCGAGCTTGAATTCACCGTTCGTTTATTTAAAAAGTGTTTTCGGTGCAGGCTCATTCGCGTTCGTTTATTGATTCCAAGTGCTCTGATAACTGCTCTGTGCGCTCGCTGGTCACGTGATTACTGCTCCGCTTCAGCACGCTCTCCTCTTTGAGCCAAATACCGAACGCAAGGATAGATGGATAAAATAATGTGCTTTATTGTCATAAAAATGGTACAAATTGTTTTGTGGACCAAGCTAGTTAATATAAAAATCACCTTTAAAAAAATATTACAGGCTATATTTTTTAGCTAATGAAAATATGTATTGTAAGAGCAGTTTAGAAACTAAACTGCTGGACAATTGCTTTCGAGCACAAAAAAAAATTTCGCCTAACTTTCAAGCTCGATACTTTTGGAACCAAAATATCGACCTCTGTTTCCATATAGCAATTTTTTTCACAAAAAGTCAATCTGTCGGCCCATGAAAACCGGAAGTCGATATTTGGTCTGGTTCCAAAAATATTGAGCTTGAAAGTAAGACGAAAAAATTTTCTTGCTTGGAAGCAATTGTCCAGCAGTTAAGTTCACTCTGACAATCAAAGCAAAATAAAACCAGATGTCAAATTTTTGACATAACGCTTTCTAGATAAATAACTACCTATTGAGATTTTTGAGATTATATAAAGCAAAATGAGCTCTATCCAATCAATGAAAAAAAAGATGGCGTTCCCATTTAAAAAAAAGATAAATGACGTGATATCTTTGAGAGGATTTTTTTTCCTATATCTCTGTGTAACTTTTCCCTACACGTCTTCTTACACCTATTTCCAAAATTTCATCAAATTTCATCGAGCCGTTTTCTCAGAAAAATGCCAACACACACACATACATACACACCTCGATACACACACACAGACGGAAATGTGCCACCTTGCCAAAAAGGCTTAAAATGATCCAAAAATGAAGCTAGAAACTCGGTTTACAAAAGTTACAAAACATTAGCAATAACAATGTGAAAAAAAATCAATAACAAATAGTAAACCAACAATAATAAATTCAAAGGATTGTATGTGGCCCATTTTTTGGGCAGATGATAGGTTTGAAGAAAAACAATGTCTTGTAAATTCCAAAAATTCTTTAATTTTCTTGACAGAAATACTACTGGTTTCAATGCTTCATCTTCAGGTATAAAAAGTGTTATTTTTTTTGGTTTTTAGGCTTTTTATACCTGAAGATGAAGTTATTAACTCAATCATATTTAGAATCTTTCCTGTTAGTTAGCCTGTTAGAATAATATTTCTTTTTTGCTGTGGCAATGCGCTTACGGAACAAGGAACTGTTGTTATTATTCCTTTATTGTTTATAATGAAATTACATTCATAATTCATATAACAGGGAGACAGGTTTTACAACTTAATTTGCTATCTAGAGTACAAATGTTTCTAAATTGACATTTCATTTGAACCTTATTATTTAGACCTTATTATTTAAAGTAATAGCGTTCGTTCCGCTGGTTTTCCGGTTAGAAAAAGAAAAAGGAGAAAAAGTTAGAATAAGAAATTACCCAAATTTATTCACTCATAATGAAAGCTCTTAATATCAAAATGTTCATTAAAAGATAACACACAATTTTTGTGGATTAAAGGTCAATTGGGTTATTCAAGAAGGTAATAAGATTTTCAATGGTTACAAATAGTTCAGTTATGGCTGGTGTTCTAAGACTTTTATATATTGGACATTCTAATAAGATGTGAGCAATTGTTTCAAACTTGTTTAGATTACATAAGGCCTGAAGTAGATACTACGAAAACGTAGGTCGCATTATTGTTTCTTTATTGGTCAGGATTTTTGACATGACATTTTGACATTAAAGTTTATTGACAAAATTAAAGAAAAATATTGCTAAGACATACGTTCTAAAAACCATAGCAATCTTTGATTGGTTTTTTATTTGAAGACCCGATACAAGTAATAAGGGAAAACAAATTTT